CAGAGGAGCAGGAAGGCTGACGTTTCGGGCCCCTAGACCCTTCAGAAATTTTGAAGAAGAGTCAAGGCCAAGAACGTCAGCCTTCCTGTTCCTCTGATGCCGCTTGGCCTGCTGTGTTCATCCAGCTCTACACCTTGTTATCTCAGATTCTCCAGCATCTGCAGTTCCTACTATCTCTAAAACAATTTTAACCCCAGAATGTTACCTGGGTCTCTGGATTAACAGTCCAGTGATAATATCTCTAGGCTGTTGCCTCCCCTCCTGCACGAATGTAACCTCCTGAACAATTGGGTTGTACCCCTGCTTAGTCTCTTATCACACTATCACAAGCCTTTTTGGCAGTCCATATGTGTCACATCAACCTGGCTGCCATCACTTCTTTCCGCAACTCAACAGAATGGTATATTTTGCTGCTTGCTGGAACCACGGGTTTGTAAGGTTCAGGAGTTAGTGGGGACCAGAGGTCAAGTCTCCGTAGAGGGCAGGGGGAAGCAGTGAAACCCATCTGCGCGGGGTTTTGCAGGTTTTGAAGTGGTGTCTGTGGAGTGAGTTGGGGCTTGGCTTCAGGAGAGGGGCTGCTGAGTGAGGGAGGTAGGACGTTTGAAGAGGGGCTACATTGAGGTTTTTATTGCCAAAGTGTCTGGAGAACTTTGCTGAAACCTGCGTAAGAATATAATTTTCCAGAGTACTCATAAATATGAAAACCTGCTTTTTAGATGATGCACGATGTCCTGAATGTTTGTTTGTTTCAATGTTGCTTTATAATGTGTTTCTTTTTCTGGAGTCATGTTTTTTGAGACCGTTTGGTCATGTATTCGTTCGTGGGATGTGGGTGTAACCGGCAATGTTAGCATTTGCTAACTATTCTTAACTGGCATTTGAGAAGGCAGTAGTTGTTAGACCTCAGCTGGAGTATTGTGTACAGCTGTGGATGTGATATTGTAGTGAAGGTGTGATTTCATTGGAGAGAGCACAGAAGCAATTTACACGAATGGTTCCAGGGATGAGAATAGATTGAAGAAGTTGGGACTATTCTCCTTGGTGAGAAAGCTAAGAAAAGATTTGATAGAGGTTTTTAAAATCGAGCGGGTGGGACAGATCAGATGGGGAGAAATTGTTTCTGCTCGTAAAAGAAAACAGAACAAGTGGGCATAGATTCAAAGTTACGTGTAAACAATGCAAACTTCACCACACAGTGAGCATTTGGAGTATGGAATCTCTCGTTGGCGATAATCTTTGCCTTGTTCCTTGTCAGCCCAAGCCCAAATGTTGTCCAGGTCTTGTTAGTCCTTCACCAAGCAGTTGAGCAGTTAAACGTGTTTTGCTCTCAACAAATCTATTCAGACTTTCCTTATGCTATATTTGTCTGGGTAACAGTTAACTCTACTGTTTCAAAACGTTTTCCCCAGCACTCATAAGACAGAGAATAGTGGATGTTACACTCTTTCTGGCATCAACCCTGTGCTCTGAGGACTGGAAGGTTATAGTCAGTGCTTCCATGATTTTCACCTACTTTCTGGAGAATCCATGGATGCGTTCATCCAGTTCTGGTGACTTATCAATTTTAAGTATATATCCAGCCCACTTAACAATTTTTACTCTGTCCAGTGTTCACTGTCACTGGGCAACATCATCTTGCTTAGTAAAGACAGATGCAGAGTCCTTGCCCATAAAAGCACCTGAGTTGAAAGCACTGCTTTAGCTAATGTCAGATGCTGAATAAATTAAGGATGCTATCTGCTTTAGCCTGTGGGACTCTACTCAGTTGAATTTGATCTGTATAGAGAGCTGACTGAGTTGATATACTATGTTCACTCTGCTGCGTTGGTTTATTTGTGGATCAATGCAATATATGGCTGTGTGCATGTGGATTAGTTCAGGACTTGAATGGTCTGTTATGCAGAGCAATCTTGGTTGATGTAGGGTGAAGTTTTCTTGTGGAATGCAACAATATACGTGTTGGGATACACACCAGCCAGAACCCAGGCTTGAAGGGCTGAAGACCATTGAGTGCCACTGCTCGCTGCTTATAACAGAAAATGCTAGAAATGCTGAGCAGATCCGGCAGCATCTGTGGAGAGAAGCAGAATTAACATTTCGTGTCGCGATTACCTTTTTTGACCTGAACTACCTGACTTAAGTATTTCCAGCATCTGTAGTACTTTGCTTTTACGTTGTGTTGGAGAGAGAGATAAAGGATTTTTGTGTGCAGATTTTAACTTCACTGTGTGCTTAACCATTGATTTCACATGAATATTAAAAAAAAGTGCCTGTTGACATTTGGTGACTTAGTCATAGGCTGAGATTCCCTGGATTGCAATTTTCAGACAAACCACGTGGTGTCTGTTTCTGGTCTCGCTATGACCAGCATGTTTTCTGCCTAATGGTTGATGTGCTGTTGGCACTCTTTAGCGAAATGTCAAGACAGATTTAAAGATTCTGATTTATTTTTCCACCTTAACCTAGGTTAAAGTGACTGAAGAACTAGCAGTCGCTACCAGCCAGGTTGCCAAGTTGCAGCTAGAGCTCACATCCCACCAGAAGAAGGAGATGGAGTTACGGAGCCAGCTCGCGTCAGCATTGCAGGAGGCAGAGGGACAAAGGCTAAGGCTCAATAATGTGGAAGTCCAATTAACAGGTACAGATGATGACTCTGATCACCTTGACGTGCAAATCTATCAGGAGGAACGAGATGTCTTTGCCTGTGGCAGTCTTTGAAAGTGACAGGGAAGATTAGCTATTTTTAAACGTGCAATATCCTGGATTTTATCATTTCTGGCATAGAGGCCAAAAACAAGGCTAGACTTCATAAGTTACTGAGTAAGCCTCAGTAGCAAGAACATACAAACCATGAAGTGGGTGCAAAAGAGATTTAACTGAACAGTACCAGGGTTAGGAACAGAAGTAGATTTTAACCCTTTGAGCCTGTTTTGCCTGATCTGTTTGTGTTGTGAATTCCACATTCCCATCTGCCCCCAATAACTTTTGATACTCCTACCAAGCAAGAATCTTTCCACCTCTTATATATGTAAAAATGTAATAACCCACCGTCACCACCTTCAAATGCAGTGTGTTCCAAAATGTCTCAATTCCATGAAAGAAAAATTCCTCTCATCTCTGGCCTGAAAGGATGAACCCTCATTTTAAACCGTGTCCCCTCAGACTGACACGTAGCAGAAGCCTCCTTTGCATGTCCGCCTTGTCAGGACCACTTACGATGAAGTGGTCAGCCTGAAGAAACTAGTGCTTTTCTCCTTGAAAGATTTAAAAGTAGTCTTGGTAATTATTAAGAGTTTTCTAAGTGTGGATGGGTGAAGATTTCCATTAGTACCATGAAATAGACTTAAGATAATCAGAAGAATAAGGGGAGTGAATTTGTTTTGTATAAATTTAGCTAAGATTTGGGATGCACTGCCTGGAATCAGTGGTTACTTTCAAAAGTGAATTTGAATGTAGATCTTTTTATCAACCTGTTCAGAGATGTTTTTGCACAATTCTGGAGCACGTGGAATTTAAACTCTGGTCTCCTGGCCCAGAGGCAGGCACACTACCACTGTACTGCAAGAGCCCTCACAGAGATCAGCTGTTTTCAGACATTTTGCAGGGCTGTGAGCAAGGGAATGTATCCAATTGAACTGCTGTTTCCAAGAGTTCCTGTCGTTCTGTGTTGTATGATGGCAGTCTTGCAGCATAAGCGGATCTACAAACTTCTTATTCAGACCCTTTGATCCAACTAGTCCATGCTGACTATCATCCCAAAATTAACTAGTTCCACCTGCCTTTTGTCTTATGGAATTTGGGTGCCTGTGATCCCTTGGGCAGATATCATATTTCTTTCATTGCCCTTATGCTTGTGAAGTTTGGGTGGTAGCTACATAGTAATGATCGCTAGAATCAGGGAATTGTTGTGGTGCAGAGGAGGCCATCCAATTCATCATGGCTTGATACTAAATAAAAACTGAAAGAACTGCGGATACTGTAAATCAGGAACAAAAGCAAGCTGCTGGAAAAGCTCAGCGGGTCCGGCTGCATCTGTG